ACATTTTCTTCCATTATAAATGTAGGCCACAAATCCCTTCTGAGGTGTCATAGATTTCATCAGTGTGCCAAAGAGGCCCAGGACACAAGTCACTAATTTAGATCTGCTTCACCTTGTTTTTGTCAGAACTCTTAACTAATCCTCCATGAAAAATTTGCTCTGTTACTAGGAAGTACCAGTGAGCTCTCAAAGGTTACATATATACAAGCAGAGCCAAAGTTCTAGCTGGTTCAAGCCAGAAAAGCTTTTGAGGTTATGAGCCTTTGAGCCCAATAATAAGTAAAGAGCAGCTTAGATAAATTCAAGGTAGACTCATTATCAGGTTGGACTCAGAGTGATGAATTCTTACCCACAAAAACTCATGAAGATCATCTAATATGCAGAGGGCTTGTGATCTGCACTGTGGGGTGCCCACAGCAAGGATATAATAGATATTTCACTTTGAAGTATCTAAGTATTGTTAACCGATCAAGAAAGCGCTCATTTAAAAAAAATCCTTCACATAATTGAAATCATTAAAATACTTCACAGAGAACAACTCTGGCAGATTGTCCCAGAAGGGGCTTTGTTGATTAAAGCAAAATATGTAGAAATTAGCAAGATTGTAAAAAGTATAGCCAGCCAATTCTAAAAGAATAGGATCACAGAAACAGTGAACAAAGGGGCAATGATCAGTGACATTTTTTGTAATGCTAACAATTTTAACCATTTTTTTAAAAAAATTTAATTTTAAAAATAAATTTTACGTAATTATATCTTTCATTTTCAATATCACCTTCATTTCCCACTCTACTGATCCTCCCAGAAAGTCATTCCTTAATTAAAGAAAACAAGAAAAAAACAGGTCAGCAAACCAAGACACTGGAAAAGTTTGACCTGTATGCAGTGTTTCACACCCATGGTGCCCTACCTCTGCAAAGAAGAGGGAAAGAGGTGATGTCTTCTCATATCTCCTAAGAGACCAAGTTGCATCATTATAATTTCACAGTATTCAGTTTTTATTGTTTTGTGGTTATTCCTTTCCATTTATATTGTTGTACTCGTTGCATATATTGTTTTCCTGGTTCTGCTTACTTCACTTTGTATTGGTTCACATGTCTTTCCCTACTACTCTGTATTCAATAAGTCAGTCAGCAGTTATCAAGCATTGTGCTAAGTACTGGGGATATGGAAAGACAAAAGACAGTCCAGATCTCAAGAAACTCATAGTCTAAATGGGGAGAAAATATGCGAACAGCTAGAGTCAGTTCTTGCTTTATGTAAATGCAGACCTTCTGGAGACCTCTACATAAACTCTTACACAATGAAAATTGCCCCGGACTTGGGAGAGGAAGGGAGAGGGGGAGGGAGAGGGAAAAGGGGCCATGTGCCCATGGGGGGAGGGGCCAACACACAGATTAGCCAGTTAAGGAGGGATCTGGCCAGAATAGAGAGGAGGAACATGTGGAAAGGGGAAGAAGGGAAGACTGGGACACAGATAGGATGGGACCAGGATGGTACTGGAGGCCTGACATGTGGATGGATGGGCTGAATAGGCAAAGGTCTTCTTTCTCAGTGCTGGGGGTCTCAAGGCAAGCCCCTAATCAGGCATGGCCATAGTGGCAGTCTCTCCAGTGCATCCATTCTTCTGAATTCACTTGGAAGGTTGGTTTTTTTAAAAGGTTTCTTGGGAGGTATGGAGGGGAAGCCACAGAGGGCAGAGCTGAGGGGCATGAGCAGAGAGAAAGAGATCACAGTACTGAACATTAAAGTTAACTTAGGGTTGGGGGTGTTTTTTTTAAAATATGGATTTCTTTTGGAATTTTTTATGAATTTACATAAAGCAAGAACTGCCTTATGTACAAATAAACTATATTCAGGATAAATTGGAAACAATCAATGGGGGGGGAAGGCGCTAGAATTAAGGGCAATCAGGAAAGGTTTCTTGTAGAAAGTGGAATTTTATCTGGGACTAGAAGGAAGCCAGGAGGGCAGAGATAAAGAGGGATTGCGTTCCAGTGAAAATGCCCAGAGTCAAGAGATATTCCAGAATGTATTCATCATACTCATTCTTTCTTTCAGCAGTTATATTCCATTACGTTTGTGTACCATAATCTGTTTAGCCATTTCCCAAAGTACTAGCATCTATATATACACTTTGTTTCAGTTCTTTGCTACTGTGGAGGAGGTGACCTGTAAATTTTGGGTAAACATCTCCTCAGAAAAAGTAACCTTGGAAATCAAAGAAACAGAGCTACAGTGTTGTGTAAATAGAGACCCTCAAGCTAGCAAGGACAGGATGAGACTCACTGATTTCTATGTTGAAAGAAGCCTCTACTACCTTCCGGATTTCCTGCCCCACAGGATAGTCTGAAGAGATTAATTTCAGAAAAAAATAAACCACTAGAACAAACTTGATCTTTGACAGCTCCTGAGACCTGGAGGTTAAGGTTCTAACCCCAAGGTTAACAGTCTCCAGCAAATCACCTGACCTCCTGTCCTTATTACTCAATATCCCAAATAAGAGGCTGAATAGCTTCATGTTGTAAAACCCTATATATGCGTTAAGTCCCTTTGTTCTAGGCACTGCTTATCCAACAGACAAGGACCCATCAGCAGATGCTAATTAAACTTTATCTCCTGACCCTGCCTCTTGATTTATCGATATCCAGTTAAATGGACCTAGGTGGGAGGAATTATTCTCCTTGAGGATCATAGGACCTTTGGGTTAAAGAATTCCCCAACACTAACCATAGGAGTGCTGTGGTAAATATTTTGGTGTGCATTGTGCCTTTCTGTTTGTCACTGACCTGTGAATCTCTGGGGCAAAGGGTACCAGACGTAAATCTTTGAGTAATTCCAACTTACTTTCTTGAAAGGTCAGATCAGTTCACAATTCCAACAATACCTGTCCAGATCCCTTCAAAATCGACTTCCTGTCTTTTGTCATCTTTTTCATTTTGCTAGGTGAGGTGAAACTTTACTCCTTTGTAACTTCCCACATTTTATGGAACTGGTTACATTGCCTTGTGCCCAAATTGCTAGAATAAATACTGTGATGCTAAGAGATTTATCTTTGTGTTTTGGTGTTGGAACTAAAATATATTCTTCATTAACTATGATTGCATCCAAATGACAGGGTACTTTTTCTATTACCAGATCGGTTGTATCACATTGAAAAAGTGGTTTAAATGTTATCTAATAGTTTAAGTTGCTGAAGTTTACCTTCTAAGTCTTACCTGATTTTCATCACTGCCAGATATGAAAAATGTGCAAACTTTCATCATAGGTTGTTTTCCCCCCTATAATGGATTCTAGGCCTCTTAACGAAGCTCTTGGGGCTCAGGAAACATAATAGTCAGATTTGCCTAAACAGCTTTCATTTCAAAGCCTATAATGTCAGGATTGCTTTCAAGGGCCAGTCCAGTGAGGGAATGGTAACTTAAGAAAGATCTCCATTTACAACTTTCCTTTTTTAAGCTTTTCGTTTTATTTTACTGATTTTGAACTTAAATGCAAAAAGACCAAAAAAACCCAAAAGCCACTTACACGTACACAGCACAACACAAAAAGAAGATTCAATATGAAGCCACGAATCGCCATTTTACGCTATTAACTTTTTTTAAAAAACTATGTAATGAATAGTACACATTCTTTTCAAAGCTACCCAGTTTTCTGTATTTCCCGAGTTTTCTTTTGTTTTCTATTGTGCACTTATTTTTTTTCTTCCACTCTGCACTAGAGAAGGCCACCATTAGACACAGGTGTGTGTGTGTATAAAACTATACTATATATGGTTCTATTTAATAGTTCTTTCTCTGGAGGTGAATAGCATCTTCCTTCATAGGTCCTTTGTAGTTGATTTGAGTATTTATACTACTCAAAATAACTTAGAGGTTCACAGATGTTCTTCCAACAACCCTGCTGTTACTATATACAGTGATCTCTTGGTTCTGCTCATTTCACTCCATTATTTCTTGCAAGTTTATAACTTTCCTCTGAAGAAACTAAGGGCTGTTTAAAACCCTCAACCTTTGTCTTGATTTGGATGTGAACTGGATTTAAGTGAGGCAGAGTTTCGAAAAGTCATCAACCTCACTCTCTTCTCCAGCCACCGAAGTGCAGTGGCAAGAGATGGCCCAAAATGCAGTGGATGACCTTGGCCTTTCTAAATTAAGGTCTTTCCCAAGCCTCAATTTGTCTGAGGCAACGCCCATTCAATAACTAAGGGCTGAAAATTTGAGGACCGGGGCTGAATACTGCGCTCAATAGGTGGAAGATTCTGAGTCTATTTTCTTTTTTAAGGCAATTGGGGTTCAGTGACTTTCCCAGGGTCACACAGCTAGTAAGTGTCAAGTGTTTGGTCTGAGGTCAAATTTGAACTCAGGTCCTCCTGACTTCAGGGCCCGTGCTCTATCCACTGCTGAGTCTATTTTCTTTCTTGATTTTCTTTACATTTATTTTTACAACACCTCCATCTCCATATACTGAATCCTCTTCCAATCGGAAGCCATCCTTGCAACAAGATAGAAAAGGTAAAAGCTCCGCAAAACTGACCAAGGCAGCAACTGAACCTGACAGCACTCGCACAGCTCCGAGCCTGCTCCGCAACCCCTTCTCTCTGAAGGGTTTCAGGAAACCTCACCTTTAGACTGCAGGCGGCTGCAGGTGGTTCCTTTAACTGGAGCGTCCCCTTGGTCCGGGAGCACCACGAGGTCGCCCTCTCCTCCTGCTCTCTCCAGGACCAGCCAATCGCAGCCACCTCTCCGCAGGGGCTCGCCCCAGACTTGGACAAGGAGCCTCTGCGCGCGGCACGCCCCGGCCTTTGGAGAGACGCTTCTGTCCTCCTGGCTGGGACGGTGGAAGCCCGGCCTCGGTCACAGCTGGAGGAAGACGAAGGGTCGGTAGCCCCGCCCCAGGCCCGCCCCCGGCCTCGGAGCCCGCTCCTCCTCCGCTCCGCCCTGCTACTTAAGGCCGGTGCGAGACGGGCCGGGCGCGCTGAGTCTGCCGGGTCCTGTAGTTGGCCGGGCCGCCCTCCTGCCCTCCGCGCACGCGCTCTCCGGCTGCTCCTCCGCTCGCGCGCCCCCTCCCTGGCCCGGGCCGCCGCGACATGCGGGACTACGACGAGGTGACAGCCTTCCTGGGCGAGTGGGGACCCTTCCAGCGCCTCATCTTCTTCCTGCTCAGCGCCAGCATCATCCCCAACGGCTTCAATGGCATCTCCATAGTGTTCCTGGCGGCGGTGCCCGAGCACCACTGCCGGGTGCCCGCCTCGGCGAACCTGAGCGGCGAGTGGCGGAACCACAGTCTCCCGCTGCAGGACGGCCGCGAGATGGTCAGGCAGTGCCGGCGCTACCGGCTCGCCGCGCTCACCAACTTCTCGGCCCAGGGGCTGCTGCCCGGGAGGGACGTGAACCTGAGTCAGGTGGAGCTGGAGCCCTGCCTGGACGGCTGGGAGTACAACCAGGACACCTACCTGACCACCATCATCACCGAGGTGAGTGCCGGGCCGGGCCGGGGCACGCAGTGCTGTGCCAGGGTCTGCAGCGTAGACCGGCGGGCCCCGTCCAGCCCTCCCGGCGCTGAGATGCAGGCTGGCGCTTTCTGCTGGCCACTGTCATTCGTCCAGCCCTTGCCCTCTCGCCTATGATAACAGCATCGCCGCATGAGCTTGTCCACGAGAAGCACAAACCCTCACTTTTCACTGAAGCCTGTTTGGTGAGGGCACCTTCACCGATAACCTAAAAGGACCCTTGAAAGCTTTATGACTTTCAGCCTCTCCACACACACTCAAAGCGGAGTCTCAAAAAATATGCAGGATTAAATAAAATCACAGAATTTTTCTTCCTGGGATTCTTCAGCTCCTTAGAAATGAGGCAGCCCTGATAGGCATCTGCCCCCCTGCTCTACACTGGCATACTTTATATGTGGAAGGAATAGAACATTCCTAGAAGGTTAGAACTACAAGGGCTCTTGGAAACCTACTAGAATAAATGTTGTGATGCTAAGAGATATCTTAAACTTGTGTTTCCATTTTGCAGATGGGGACACTGAGGCTCATAGAGAGGAAATAGCTTATTCATGGTTACATATAAAAAGATGTCTTGTGTCACCAGTCTTTCCTTTTATAAGATGTCAAGACCTGGTAAATATTGTTCATTTTCAGTAACTTCTACTGATAACATGAAAAGAATAAACAAGTCTTTAGCAAAGTGCTTCTCCCCTCTAACACACAGAGGCATCTTCTTCCTCCTCCAACAAATTTTTCAGGGTCATTTGGTTTAAGCTGAAGGGGTGGGGAACCTGTGGCCTCCAGGCCATGTGTGGCCCTCTAGGGTCCTCAAGTGCAGCCCTGGATTTGTTCTATGAGTTTGCATTCAGTCAAAAGGCCGCACTTGAGGACCCAGAGGGCCACGTGTGGCCTGGAGCCCACAGGTTCCCCACCCCTGGTTTAAGGGATTGACTGCATTTTTATGGAAGAACTTTACATAAATGGGATGGGAATCCATGGGATGTTTTCTCTTTCTGCAGCTCATCCCATCTTTACCTATAGCCTAATGATAACCACATTTTAAAACGAAAACAAATTAATCTGTCTCTAATAATCCATTCTTGGTACCCACACTACCTAAATGATATAAATGTGGTTTTTGTATGGTTCAAGTTGAGGGTGGTTTCGTGGAACTGAACTGAGAAAATGAGGTAGACTTTGGTAGTTCATATCTTATGATGACGGAAAAGTTTAAAGTTTTATTCTTAATACCAATTGATATATCAGTGTTCACAGAGAGCAGATGGTATGATGGAGAAAGTTCTGGGGTTAGACTAGGTGACCTCCAAGGTGTCTTCCAGTTTTAACCATCTATGGTTTTATAATTTTTTTTTAGAGGGTGATCCAGTGGAAAGAACATTGGATTTGGAGTTGGAGGACCTAGGTTTGAATTCTGGCTTCGCTACTAACTTGCTACCTATGTCACCTTGGGCAAGGCCCTTAACTTCTTAGAGCCTCAGTTTCCATCTCTGTTTTTTTTTTAAAAAAAGGTTGTTAAGAGCAAGTTATTTATAAAACCTCTTCTAGTCCTAAACCCTGCATAAGAGTAACAGTGTAATAGAAAGACCACTAAAGATTGGAATCAGGAAACCTTGATGTGAATCTCAGGGTATGTTCAGAATTTTTGCTATATTCCTGGTTTTAAAATTTTGAGTCATGCATGTATACCTTTACATATATATAACTTTAGTATATGAGGAGACAAAGGGGTTACAAGGATTATGAGCATCATAAGACCCAAGGAAATATGTGGAATAGTAAGGCTGCCAATCCCGCCAGACTCTCCTCCCCCCTTCATTCTGTGGAGCCTAGGAGATTTCAAAGCTATGGATTACACCGGTTTTTTCTTCTTCCTAAACTGACTATGCTTACTGATGACTAATCATACTTTAACATGGGGACAGGGAAGGGCTGGTTATTCTTATTGCGGATTTGTTATCTTTTGCTTTATAAGAGTCCATTATAACTTCCTTTCCCCATGTTTGGCTTCAGGGTTGTTATGAAGTTGTATGTCCTTGTCTCCCTTCCAGCTGTACTTGACAGTAAACTTGGTGTGTTGGTTTCCCTCCCCCCTCAGTAGTAAAAGAAAATGGTTCAGTGGAAAGAAGGCAGACAGTAGACTTTAACCTTTCAGACTTACCCTTTATGGATGTAACCTTTCCAGCCTCAATTTACTCATTTGTAAAAATAGGGACAATTATCTCACAGAAGTGTGAGGAGAGTACTTGAAGTCTTAAAGTGTGGGATGGCTTGTTTTGCTTTTACCCGAGTGGTATTTATGCATTTTGACAAAAGAATAGAAAAGGTTTGTGTTTATGTTGGTGAGATATGGCAGCTGTCTCATTACCAGAGATTTTTAACCCAAGATGGAATTCCAGTTCTTTAATGGAAATTAGGGTAATCCTCCTCAAGATTAACTACAAACATTTTAAACTAGCCCTGGGGCCTATAGAAATAAGTGATCTGAATGACTGAAAGTTTCCTTTGAAAGTAGGATTTGCAACTGCTTATAAATGGAAAGAGTTGTCTTTGATCCACTGGTATTGTTAGGTGCTAGACTTTGTAGCTGTTAAGTAGCTACTGACATGCTGAAGATACCTAGCTAGGAGTTTAAGAAGGGGGGGGGGATTCCTTCCCTAGGTAGAAGGATTGGACTAGATGCCCCTCATCTGTTCCTTCCTTGATGCTCTGAGATTCTCTCCCTCTTACTCTGATGCTTTTTAGCCTCTATCACCACACAAGGCAGATAAGCCGGTATGGATTTTTGTCCTGCCATTTAAAAATATCCTTCTCCTCATTTTGCTAGTGAAGACTTTACTAGGCTTCCGGATGCTGGATTGCTAAGTTGTTGTTATTCAGTCAATGATAGAGTAGTTAGCTAGCAGCGTGATTCCAGCCTCACCTTTTTACTCACTTAGATTGTCTTGGGAATGGCGCCAGAGCTGTTTGCCCTTTCCCCTACTTTCAGGCTGTCAAAGTTACCTGAGAGGCAAGTCTAGCCCTACCTAAGTTTGCTTGAGGACCTGAGCTTCTTATATTTCTTTATTCACTGTCACTGTTGGGCAATTCGTGTGCTTTCTTTTTTCAGACCCATTTTCTTTCAACGTTGTTGGTTTAAGATAGATTGTACCTTCATCAGAATGTATGGTTTCCTTTGAGGATTGGCCTGTTGCTGCCTTCCCTTTTCTTTCTGTGATTATCTCCCTTTTCCATTCAGATGAGCCAGAGATCTGGAAGCACCAGAACAAAACACAGACCTCAGAGCCTGAAGTCATTACCAGATATTTGTGAGATTGTGGCCGCTGATGTCCTAAGATGAAGGTGATAGTTGTAGCACTTGAAAGCCTGAAAAATTATTTATAAAAGCTTGCATTTACATAGTGTTGTTTTAAGGTTTGCTGAGGGCTATACATACATTATCTCATTTGACTAATATAGTGCCTTGGCCAAGTTTGCTAAACTCAGTTTTCCCGGCTGGAGAATGAAAATAATTCTTCAGTGCATCCTGACCAAGCAAATGCCATGTTCCAGGTACTATGTTATAAATTATAATATTTAAAATTAAAATAACTGAATCCCTGTCCTGGAGGAACTTACCTTCTAGTGGGGATGGTGTAGGGGATAAGCCTAAAATATAACTATCAGGTTGAGTGTAATAGAGCCAGGGTGATGTATGGGACAGAGAATTGTCCTTGGAGTCAGCAGGCCCCGGATTTGAGGTCCACCTCTATGGCATTCAGGCTGTTTCACCCTGGGCAGCCCCTTAGTGTTCTAGACCAGGGCTTCTTAAACTTTTTACACTTTCAACCCTTTCACCTCGCCTTAAACTGTGACTCACAGTTTAAGAAGTACTATTCTAGACAACCCTCTAAGACTAGAAGATACAGAAAAGGTGTCCAACCGAATTGTTAAAGTTTCTCACCAAGAGTTCCCAAGACTAATGAAATCACAGGTCTCTTTAAAAAAAAAGTGATATAAAATGTTAGGAGAGTTCACAGAAGAAGAACTCGGCTCCAGCCATGAAGATGAAGACTTGCTGCCTTCTAATGTAGAGCTGGTATCTGAGAAGGACTTTGAAAAGTCAGAGGATTTTGACATTTAAGGGTTGACAGAGAAAGACATTGTAAGTAGAGAAGATGGTGCAAATAAAAGTATAGAGTCAGGAGTTAAGAGGGGGCAAGATGTGTACTGTGATAAGTAGGGCAGACTGGCTGAAACAAGAGATGTGTAAAAGGGCCATCCTGTGGGAGATTCAAACAGGTTAAGAGCAATTCTGGAGGGTTTTGAATCCTGGGCAGAGTGTGATCTCCAAACCAGTTCAATATCATGTTAGTTGATCCCAAGCAGTGAAAGAGTACTGGCCTGGGGGTTAGGAGATCCAGGATCTAAGTTCTAGCTCTGCCATTAATTCTCTATTAAGTCATATCTCCTCTCTCAGCCTCAGTTTTCCCATCTATAAAATGCAAGAGACTGGGTGTTAGTGGCTTGCTAGTAAGATATTATGTATGCCTATCATCCTTTAGCCAAAACTAATTAATGTGAATGCCTGAGTGTTGAATCATCTCATTAATGGGCAAACATTAGTAAATCATTAGCTTTAGAGATGAACAGAGCTTTCATATTCCTTTCTTCTCCTCCCTTAAAGTGTGCCCACACCTAAGCCTTCTATCTTTCTACTTGTCTTCATTTAGTTATTTCCCACTTACACACACACACACACACACACACACACACACACACACACACACACACACACTTTGCTGCTGTCTATTTTCTCTTTATCCTACCATTGTTTTGTCCTTTTCTAGTACCTAATCCCTGTAAGGCCTAAACTACCCTACCTTCCAAAGTAAAAATTAATAGTTAAGCTCAATTTACCATTTACACTGATGGTAGAAGACAAGGGTCTTCTAGAGACAATGATTATTTATTTTTACTACTAAAAT